AAGTGGACGGCGGCTGCCACTCCGCGCGGTTCCCACTGTGCCGACTCCTCCTGCCCCGAGCAGGCGGCTCTTGTGCGTTTTGGGATGCTCCGGTTGCGGGTAGGTCACGCTTGCGTGTGTGAGCGCGGGAGCGCGTTGTCCCAGGCACCTGCTCCCTGTCTCGTCCCTGTCTGGGGGTTTTGGAGGGCTTAGCGTGCCCAGGGTGTGGAGGAGACAGGGCCATGAGGAAGGGGTCGGCGGTGCAGGTGGGCACCGGTCGGCGTTTGCCCGTGTGCCCGGGCAGCCCTGAGGGCACACATCTGTGTTTTCTGAGGTGCCTTTGCACGTACGGCAGTGCGGCGTGCTGAACCTCAGGAGGGACCGTCTCAGGCTGTGCCAAGACCCTGTGCCGGCCCGGGGCACGGCTGGCTCGGGCAGGTCCTTCCTGGCGCCCTTCCTTTCTTCCCTGCTGTGACTTCGGCTTTGAAATCCCGGGCTGTTTCCCCAGGCAGGTGAGGCTGCAGGTGCCTAGGGGCGGCGCAGGACGGCGATGGCTGTGTGCGGTGTGGGGGAGCCAGCACGAGGGAAAGCCGAGCCAGCTCTGCAGGGCAATCTCCTGCTCTTTGGATAAGAAACTCCAGTGACATCCCAGATTTAACAGCTCCGCATCAGCCTTCGTATATAAATACATGGTTTTCCCCACCGCTCCCTGAACCCAGAGGGTAGCTGCTGCCAGCAAGAACGTCAGCAAGGCTCATTTTCTTTCAAGAGCAAACCTTAATTGCTGATGCAGAGGAGATTTCAGCCCTTGTTAGACCTGGGGTTTGCCGGCCAGAGCACCAGCAGGTCTCAGTGCCAGGGGAGGTGGTCAGCTCGCTTTAATGCAAACAGTGCTGTTTGTGCAATGCCTCTGCAGCACTGCCGGCACAGCAGCCTCTCTGTGCTGGGCTGCCGTGTGCACCCTTGTTCCTGCCCTGGGGCTGCTGCTGCTCCATGGGGAGCAGCTCCCTCGTTGTTGTTAGCACATCAGCACTGTTGCCCCGGCAATTGCTGTGGAGCCGGAGAGAGCTCAGCATCACCGCGGGGCCGCATGGCGTGGGCGGGTGCAATTGCACTGCTGTGGTTTGCGAGATCTCTTGGCGATGGTGAAATGCTCTGCGGGGCTGCTGTTGCCTGCTCTGCCATGTCAGTGGTGGCCGGTGATGGAAACATTGAACGGGCAAATCCCGTGAGTTTCTACCTTCTCTTCCCGTGTCGTGCCATGTCTCAGTGTGTTGTGTGTAAAGCAGGAGGGGGCTGGCCCCACACAGTGCATGGCGTGTCCTGCTCCGCGCACAGCCGGTCTCAGCTGCTTTCTGCTCTGTCGAGGTTCCTGGGGCAGGGTGTGCACCCATGGTCCCCTCACATAGAGGACCACGATGAAGAGTAACGGCCTGCAGAGTTCGCCAGCCAACCACCTTCCCCATCTGCCCGCCCGAGCCCAAGCTGGGGATGACACCGAGGGGACAGCGGTGCTCTGCACCCAGAGGTCAGGCCAGTCCTTGGTCCAGGAAAGGGGGGGCATTTCTGAGGAAGGGCTCAAGGAGGCTCTGGGCACTGGGGACCTTCTGGGAGAGCCCAGCCTGTCTGGGAGTGGAGAGCGGCCATCCTTGGGCACGTGCCACTGGGACGGGGCTCATGGTTCTTGCTCTGGTGCCAGTGGGGCAGGGGGAGAGGAGGAAGACCACCTCAGTGTGCATATCAAAACCTGATGGGCCCATGCCACAGGGGGCAACGGCAGGGCTGCAATGACGAATGCCAAGTGCTTGCTTCCTCCAGCTGGCCTAAGGCGGCTGTAGGCAGGCAGGCACTGCTGCAGGACAGTTGGCCGTGACCCTCTTTCTCCCTGCTGCAGGGCCTGCTCTCCCCACGATGACGCCTCTTCGGAGCCCCGGGGAGATGCTCCTCCGGATGGCGGAGAGCAGCTGGCTGCTCCCACTTTCCAAGGGCGGCAAGCCCTGGCCAGGTATTCGTGTGCGCGGTGGACCCCAAGTGCCAGGACAGCTCCTGTGAGCTGCAGGCTGAGTCAGAGTCTTTTGAGCCTGACTTTGAAATATGCATGACAAAATGGGGGAAAGGGCTGCCAAACGTCATCATGTTGCAGGGACACTGAATAAGTAGTGCTCTATCCTTCCTGCTCTGGGTTTGCCTTGAAAAGTGGTACATGCCATCTCCCACCACGCTGGGCTAGGGAGCACACAGGCTGCCTCTCTGCTCCCTTGCCTGGAAGGAGGCAGTGCGCAGACGGCTTCCCCTGTCCTGCAGAGAGCTGGGTGCTCCCCAGTGCACCTGCAGGCAGAGGCACACTGGGGGCTTGCGTGGGCTCACCACTCACAATTTATATCATTCAAGTGCAGCAGGGACTGACTTCTGCAAACTGTTGCTCTGCATGCAGCAGTGTGCATGGAGAGAGCGGAGGAGAGGATGGCTCCATCACCTCCAGCGCCCCGGGAGGGCTTGGAGGCTGGCTGTGCCCGAGGGCACCTTTCCCTTGCAGGCAGCCTCAGCTCTGCTTGAGTCACCTACACGCTCATGTCCCCGTGGCAAGTGACAGCAGGATTTGGGGAGGGCCCGCTGGACTCTACGAGGGTGGGCCCCGCGCTGTCTTGCTCGTATAGTCTTGCTCCAATGCTGTCACTGCAAGGGGCAAAAAGACCATGTTTGGGCCTGACAGGGGGCTGTGAGACCTTTCCTCTCAGCCATAAACACCCTTGAGCGTGCCATGGGCTTCTGCACCAGCACGAGCGCTACCTCAGCTCCCTACAAGGGCTTGCTCTCAAGTTTTTGCTCTCTTCTGGCTCCACAGATACCTCCTCCCTGACTCTGCCTCTCTCCCCTGTCCAGGATAGTCCGCCTGGTGCTGGTGCTGAGAGACTGGGCTAGCAAAAGCTTGCACGAGGAGCAGCAAAGGCCTGACCCCTTCCTTGAGCGGATCCAGGGCCCCGAGCTCCAGACGGTGGCTGCGGATGTCAGCAGCGATCCAGAGGGCGAGGAGACAGAGGCAAAAAACAAAAAGTAGAGTCCCTTCCCTGAGGCCTCTGCTGTCCTTGGCTGGAGGTCAGCTGTGCATGGTGCTCAGGACCTCCGGGCAGCATAGGCAAATGGACACGGATGGGGGCGTGCCAAGTCCCAGGGGAGGGGAGGAATGGGGCTGGGAACGAGTCACGGGGCCCCAAGGTGCAGATCTGCCTCGAGAGGAAGGCAGCCGTGGAGAGGGTCCCCTGTCTTCTCCAAACCTTCTCCTGGCAGCCAGCCTGGCCTTCCCAGGCTGCTGCGTAGGCAACACAGCCCCTGTCCCTGGTCTGGGACATTTTCTGACCCTGGCCCTGAGCGGGGGCCAGGATCCCTCTCCCAACAGGAGCTGCTTGCAGAAGAAACCCTCAGGGGACCATTGCAAACACGAAGGCATTGCGTTCGCAAGTCTCATTTCATCATCTGCAGGACAAAGGGAGATGAAGGGAGTGCATTGCTGCCTCTGCCTCCCCCAAGAGCGGACACTGTGAGGGCAGCTTTCTAAAAAGGCTCTTTCAATTGCAGCCCTTTCATCTCCTCAGCTCACGCACCTGGTGAAAAGCAATAACCAGGCTTTTCTTCTGCTGACTAATTAAAGGGCAAAGCTCATGGACTAGCTTGGACCCTACTATTTTACATGGTAATTAGAACACCGAGAAATAATTGTTTTCCGTAGCAGAAAAATATCTGAGGCTTGTATCGGGGACTTTACTAGTCATGGAGAAAAATGTTCTGCCCTGCGAGTTTAAGGGAGCTTGTTAATTATCAGAGGAAGAGGGAGCTGCAGGCTGCTGTGAAGGGGCTGCTTGGTGCTGTGGCTCCGTAGGGGAAGCTGTTCCTTTTCTGAGGTGAGTCTGGCAGGATGAGGGTTTCCTGCGTCCGCAGGTGATGTGGCAACAGAGCCAAGTGCTATTGCATCACGCCCAATAAATGCAACTTCTTTGCCAGCTTGACTCTATTTAAGGGATCGGGTAAAGGCCCGGGGGAGGGGGGGGGAAGGACTGTATATTTGGAGTTACCCCACAAATCTCTGGAAGGCAGAGCACTGTGGCTCTCAGAAGCAACCCCTGGAGAGATCATGCTAACTTCTGCTATTTTCTAGGTCCTCAGCTGTTTGGATGAAAGGCCCAGCTCTGCTAAATCTGAGCACGAGTTGCCAGGCATGGCAGCGGGAGCCTCGGTGGTTTGCAGGACTGGGTGCAAAGCCTTCACAAACAGGCAGCTGATTCTTCCCTCTTTCTGGGTTAACCCAGCCCCTGGTTTTCCAGCCTCTGGTTTTTACCCTAGCCCTGCTGTCAGAGGGGACAGCTGTACTGTATATGTCCGCCAAATAACGTTAGTGACTCTGGCCACCTGCTGTAGTCACAACTGGTGATTTAAGGCTGAAATTGCTAGCATGATTAACACAGTTATTGAGGTTACTGGTGCTTGTGGGGTGTGTGTGTTACAACACTACTTGCTGGCTGTAGGTGAGCCAATGCTTCCCTTGTGTCAGCTGTCGTACATCTCAGTCTCTCTCAGAAAACATTTAAGTTCTACACTGACCCATTTCTGAACAAAAAGGATGCTCTTTCTCCTCACTTCTAAAGGGAAGGTTGAACCACCTGCTTGTCTGTGGCTGTACCCAAAGCATATGCGAATGATGGCTGCTGGCTTTGCTTGGGGCGCTAATCCCCACGCTCTGGGCACCGTGGGCGCTGCTGCCTGCGTGGCACCAGGGAAGCAGGCTTCAAGGCAGAGGTTTTGCCTTTGAAGGTGTCAGAAGCAGTGGGGTGTGCAGGGCAATCTGCTGGCGAAGGAGTTGTTCTTCCCGTTGCTGGAGGGAGTTCTGCATGTTCAAAAGCTGGAAGGGAGGGAGGGCGAGACGGAGTTTTGCTCTACCAGGCTGCAGCAGCCTATCAGTTCAGCTGCAGAGTTTCTGTTCCCTGGCTTCTCCAGTGATATCTGGCCACAGGAGCCCACACATCTTATCTCAGAGTCCCAAGATAAGCTGGATCAAGCACTTGGGAACAGTTCAAAGACTGGACCCAGGGCTGAACAGACTGCAAGAAGGCAGCTGTGAGCAGAGCGGCGATGGCAGCCCTGCAATGTCATCCGCCCAGGCCACTGCTCTGTTGTTTGGGCAGCCCCTCCTGGTGCTCCCGCTGACCTGGCAGCACACTTTTCTTTCTGCTCTAATTAATATTATTCTTAAAAATCTGTCTGGCTCCAATCCCTACCTTTTCTGGGAAAAGCAATGTCATCTAATGAGAAGTTTTCAGATTACCTTCTTCTATACGTCTGTTTCTCGCTCTGCCACTAATATGCTGTGTGCACGTAGGCCACCTGCTTTGCCTTGCTGTGTTACAGTTTCCTTTTCTGGTACATTATCAAGCACAGTTTTGGGGATAAAGGGGCTTAAACAGTGCTGAAATTTTTTACTCAGCACTCCTGGCATTGGTCCTAGCTTAGAGACTGGCACTCAAGCTGCAGCTATGTTTAAGCCAGTCTAGTACAAAGGATGAAGGAGGTGACTTGGATGCTGTCTTCCAACCCTATTTTCTACATTTAGCCCTTGATCCACACATTGCATGCCAGCCCTGGGTTCTCTCTGCTTCCAGGAAGAAATGGCAGATCTTTGTGGTGGACCCTGCAGGGGACTGGTATTACCATTGGCTGGCTGTCATTGCAGTTCCTGTCCTCTATAACTGGTGCTTGCTTGTGGCCAGGTGAGCTGGAAGGCTTATAGGGTCCCTGTCTCCCCCGTCCCGCCTATTCACCTGGCAGTTGTGGCTCAGGCTGGTATCAGACAACTGAAGCTGGCCATGCTGGGGCTGGGGCCTGTGGGAACCTAAAGGAAAGGGACCTCCCATTTTGTGGTGATTGCAGCAGTGCAAAGGCAGAGCATCCATTGTCTGGCCCTGGCGGAAAAGGACTGTCATCTCAGGATGCAGCTGCTTGCAAGGTTGCGAGGGGCATTTGGGAGGTGGCTCAAGAGCATTTCTTTACCTAAGTCAGGGGAGGGCAGATGATTCAGAGAAGAGGGGTTTAATTTCTAGGAGTAGAGGGGGCAAGTTACCAAGCTCAGCTGTAGAGTTTAGGAGTCCTGGAACCACTGGAGATGGTAATAGTTGGAGATGATTAGGGTGTTCAGTGGTCTCACCACCCCATTATGTGGTCCTCCTCCAGGGCTTGTTTCAGTGACCTACAAAAGACCTATGTTGTCCTCTGGCTGGTGTTAGACTACATCTCGGACTGTATCTATATAGGGGACATAGTGATCCGTCTGCGTACAGGTAAGGAGAGGAAGCATCCTAGCTTGTGAGTGCTTTGTTTTAATTCCCTAAAAGTGGAGATGAGCTGCAAGGGATGGGATCTATAGGTGCATTAGAAGGAGGGGTTTGGTCTACCTTGGCACTTGCTAGCATGAAGGAGCCTCCAGAGAAAGAATATAATTAAAAGACGTGAGAAATAGAGTAAGCTTCAGAGTGAAAGATTACTCATGCTAGCTTTCAACTTCACCTTTGAATAATTGTACAAAATTACTCACATTAGTATTAGTACTCGGGCATAGTTGAAGGTCGGTATCTCTGATTTTATATCAGTTCAGTTAATGGATTATCTAAAGGGAAAAATGGTAGGATTTAACGTTCTCAGAATGGGGCAGGCCACTGTATGTTTTTCGTCCAGAACTTGCAGTAATTCATGATCCGGAGGAGGGAAACCTTTGCATCCCAGTTTCTTTGAGGCAATAGAGTAAATCCCTAAGTGATATCTTTGCATGGCTTTTGCCAGATGAAAAGCTTTAGGGGTAACGAAAGCTTGTAGACTCCGTAGATCAGGTGGAATTAGTAATATTTGAATGACTCTGTGTGTATATGCATGCATGTGAAAGGCACGCTGTGAAATGTTTATCAAAAAGTCTGTAGAAGAGTTGCACATAAGTCAGGGTACTTCTGCTATTTGCTTCTCTGTTAGGTTTCTTGGAACAGGGTCTTCTGGTTAAGGACCTGAAGAAATTACGGGATAGCTACATCCACACCTTACAGTTCAAGCTGGATGTTCTCTCCATCTTGCCAACAGACCTGGTGTACTTTGCTGTGGGATTGCACCGCCCTGAGTTGCGTTTCAACAGGCTGCTGCACTTCTCCCGCATGTTTGAGTTCTTTGATAGGACTGAGACCAGAACCAGCTACCCCAATATCTTTCGGATCAGCAACTTGGTTCTTTACATCCTGGTCATCATCCACTGGAATGCATGCATTTATTATGCCATCTCCAAAGCCATAGGCTTTGGAGAGGACACCTGGGTCTATCCCAACGTCACAGACCCTGAATACGGGTATCTCACCCGGGAGTATGTCTACTGTCTCTACTGGTCTACGTTGACTTTGACTACTATTGGAGAAACCCCTCCTCCTGAGCGTGATGAAGAGTACCTCTTTGTGATCTTTGATTTCCTTATTGGTGTCCTCATCTTTGCCACCATTGTGGGGAATGTGGGATCCATGATATCCAATATGAATGCCACCAGGGCAGAGTTCCAGGCAAAAATTGATGCCATCAAACACTACATGCAGTTCCGCAAGGTGAGCAAAGACATGGAAACCAAAGTCATCAAGTGGTTTGACTACCTGTGGACCAACAAGAAGGCAGTGGATGAACGGGAAGTGCTGAAGAATCTCCCTGACAAGTTAAGGGCAGAGATTGCCATCAACGTTCATCTGGAGACACTGAAGAAGGTGAGGATCTTCCAGGACTGTGAAGCAGGTCTACTGGTGGAGCTGGTGCTGAAGCTTCGTCCTCAGGTATTCAGCCCAGGGGATTATGTTTGCCGGAAAGGAGACATCGGGAAGGAGATGTACATCATCAAGGAGGGGAAGCTGGCTGTGGTAGCAGATGATGGAACAACACAATATGCTTTGCTGACCGCAGGAGGCTGCTTTGGTGAGATCAGTATCCTCAATATTAAAGGGAGCAAAATGGGCAACAGACGCACTGCCAACATTCGTAGCTTGGGCTACTCCGATCTCTTCTGCTTGTCGAAGGAAGACCTGATGGAAGCAGTCACGGAGTATCCTGATGCCAAAAAGGTCCTGGAGGAGCGTGGCCGGGAGATCCTGATCAAGGAAGGGCTGCTGGATGAGTCAGCTGCAGAGGAAAGCATGGAAGACAAGAACGTGGAGGAGAAGCTGGACAGGCTGGCCTTGAATCTGGACACACTGCACATTCGTTTTGGCCGGCTCCTGACAGAGTACAATGCTGCCCAGATGAAACTTAAGCAGCGCATCACTGTTCTGGAGTCCAAGATGAGGCAGCAAGATCTGGAGGACTTCTCCGATAGCTCAGACAGCCTGTCTGAGAATGGGGAGGGACATCCCGGTGGGATGCAATGAGGAGACACGCTGGTCAGCTAGACCATGTCCTGCCTTGTACTGAGGCAGTGTTTTTTCACAGGGCAGCTCCTTTGGCTGCTTTACTAGGGACTTGAGTCTCAAGTCCTTAGCGTTGCTGTTGCTACTGCCTTGGTGCAGCTCTTGACATGGCTCCAAATCAGGTGACTGTCTTTGTTCTCCCTCAGGCCTGTCTCTCTGACTGCCTTGATCTGAGATCTTGGGCTTGGATCAGTAAAAAGAGGAGGATGGCTTATGCTACTGCTAATGTTTCCTTCCAGTTTCTGCAAAAGGTCTCTACTCATCACACCTCCTTCTTTCCCTTTGCCTTAATAGAACGTGGGACATCATCGTCCAGGTTCTTGCGTGGAGGGATACCTGGACTTGCTGACCTTTCATGCACGCCAAGGAGGCACAGAGTGGCAGTGGACAGAGCCTGCTGCGTGCCACCACCCCGTTCACAACAGGGCCAAGGAGGAAGACGGCCTTTAGAAGATGTCAGATTCCTGTCAGATAACAAACTGTCCCAGTGAGAGAGACCAAATCACAGGCTAGATATTTACAAATGCTTTTTGGGTCTGGCTTTTGTAAATCACACCACAGTAGATAAATACCCGTTGTGCACTGAGTAACTCCACACCTGTGGGGCATGTAAACCCAGCTAAGCAAGCTAAGTCTGGGCCTCTCATGTCTGTAAACAGGGAGGCTTGTCTGGGTCACTGTCACTACATAGGTCATCTCCACAGTGGTGCAGAAGTTGAGCATCTTGCTCGAAGGACAGGCAGTTGCAACCCTCCCACCCACCTTCTTTTCCCCTTCTGCTGTATTTGCTGCCTGAGCTATTGAGTTCCACCTGGTGCAGGCAGCCCCACAGCGTCGCATTTTCCTGGAGGATGGTGTTTCCAAGCCCTCCTACCCTCTTGCTCCAGAGGCAGCATGAATTTCATTTTGACTATAGAAGTCTCAGATGACAAGTACAATACATCGGGAAAAAAACACTGCTCTTTGGACTGACAGTGCCTGTTACGCTACGTACAGAGGGAAGACAGTAACTGTCTCTCTCATCTATGTAGTGATGGCTAGAGGTGCCAGGAAAAGTTTTACTGAAATGATATATTTTAAAGGAACAAAGTAGTGGTAGGACCCAACTGTGCCCATACTTACTTTGGAGTGGGTAACTCAGAGAGAGCGCAGAGCGCATTTATTTTCTTAGGCAGGAGGTTTCCTTGCCCTCTGTGGGAGTTTTGGGGTCTTTCAGGCCAGTTGCCTTCTGGATGAGAAATGAGTGGCAGAGTCAAGGGGAAGTGTTTGCTTGTGCGAGAAAATGTGGTGCCCTCTAAGCCGCCAGCAAAACTCTGCCTGGCTGTACTGTGCCCTATGGGCTCCATGGCATGAGCAGCTTGCTGGTGAGAGGTGCAAGGCAGGAAAGGCCGCCACAACCCTGCAAACTCTCACACAGGAACCCCAGCATAAGCACTAACATCACCTGAGGCACCTACCCTAAACCAGAGTCCCCCACGGCCAACTTTGGCTCCCAGAGCTGGCCCCAGCCCCCGGCCAGGAGAGGCTAGGGGGGGCTTTGCCTGCCGTACGTGCGGCTCCTGTGCGGGGGCGAGCTGGGCCAACCTTCAGAGACTGCTGTAACCCTAGCAGTCCCTGTAGTAACTGTCTGTGAGTGGGGAGCATTTCATTGGTGCCCGTACAGCAGTCACTTGGTCCTAGGTTCACAGATTTAGCACCTTAACATAAAAATATGGTCTGTTTAACTCGATATCTTGCAGTGTTCGTCACTGAATTTGGGAACAGCAAGGTCTGGCAAGCTCTCTGTCCTATGGAAGGACATGACTTTAGATGCAGATTGAACAAATCACTCAGGGCCAAGAACTGGCCTTGTGCTTTCTGCCTTCCAGTCTCTGCTATGGTGCTTGTCGTCACTAGACGAACTGGTTTGGCCTCCTGGTACTGGGGTGATGGTGCCAGGCAAGAGCTGGGACTATGAGATGCAACCTGCTTTCTTGTTTCTGCTGCCCAGGTCGCTCCGATCCTGTGTGCAGGCATCTGGGACCTCCTGCGCCTCTCCACCTAGTCTGCAGGGGCTAGTTTGCAGGGCTGGAGCTATTTTCCCAGGAGAAGGAAGTTCACTGGAGACAGGCATTTCAGGGGTGCTGGGGAAATTCATGTTTTGGGCCAAATTCAGCAAATAGTTTGGCTAAAATAATGGGGAGACACAAGGGGAGATATCAGCCCAGAAAGGTTAATGGTGGAAAAGTTAGGTTATTTGCTTTGTCCTTCCTTTTCCCTCCAAAATGAGGCTACATCCCTTCATTTTGGGTGGGAGTTATCCATTTTCAAAAAATGGCCTTTCTTTTTGGGAGCATGTGTTTGGGAAGGTTAAATTACCAATTTGGGGTAAAATGAAAAGTTTGATGTTGTTCTCTCTGAATTAAATTTTAGAGTTTTCTGGGTTTTTTTTTTTTTTTAGCACAAATTTGATTTTGGTTAAAGATGAACTGACTTCTACTCTGATTGTTTATTTAATGCTGGAATCCCTGTTTCCCAGCGTTTCCGTGTCCTGTAATTTAACACTAACATCATCTGCTCGTCATTTTCCGACTGCTGCCAGTGGGGAGGGCACAGAAGTGGCGGAGGCAGAGCCTCCCCTCTCCCCAGCCCCGCTCGGGGTGCAGGAGTGGGCCAGGGGCTGCAGAAGCACCTGTTTGTCCCACTGGGTGCTGAGCACATCTGCGGCTTTCGTCCTGCGGATGCAGAGCTGGAGCCAGGAGAGGGTGCTGTGAACCGCAGAACGGCACTGTGCCTGGCAGCCGCAGCACCCTGGCCTTGGCATGTCCCCCGAAACGGAGACCGTGGAGAAAGGGCAGAGGGAGGGAAGGGGCTGTGATTTCAGTCCCGAGCACCAGGCGCCTCTGTGCAAAGCGTGGGGTCGTGTTTCAGCAGCTGAGCATTTGCAAACACAGCTCTGAGTGTTTTCGGATGGAGCTGTGGCCCCTTCCAACTGGCACATCGGAGCCTCTTCCAGCCTCCTGGCACTTCTCGGTTGCCCTTTGCCTGCCCCGTGCACATAATCCCTGCCCTTCTCCACGGGCGGCAGGTTGAAAACCAGCGGGTGTCACTTCTTTGCTGACAATAGCTCTGAGCTGACTTTGCCCTCCGTGGCTCAGGGATCGTGGTGAGCGCTGCTGCAGTGGCAGACAGCTCCGGGAGGGCTGCGGAGCCTGTGCTGCGGCGGGGGCAGCTGGGGTCTGTGGGAGCCTGCGCCCCTGCCCGGCCCTGGCCCTGTCGCTGGTCAAGCAGAGCTTCAGCCTCTGGGCTGGGGAGCTGCTCGTAGCTTAGAGGATATTCTGGCTTCTCCCTGGGGAGACAGAAGTACTCCCTTCCCCAGTTTTAATCCAAGATAATAATCCACTTGGGAAACTTAAAGCCTTCAGACAAACTACCCCAGAGGACAGCTTTGCGAATTCAGAACAGATCCTGCCTGTTTTCTCGCGGCGGCAAGCCAGGAAATCACAGTCTGATGAACCACTTGATGGGCCTGCTAATGAAATTAGCAGCGGCTCCATGATTTTCCAGTTAGCAGGACAGGCAGATGTTGGAGAAAAGCGCGCAATGGCACAGCTGCACTTTTGGGCTGCCTAAATTCCCAGCAGAGCAGACACAGTGCACAGCAGATGCAGCTTTGCCAGCTGCCCATTTTACAGGTGGTTTCAATAACCACCATGGCCCTGTGAGGTTCTCCTTGAGATGGGGAGCAGAGGGCTGTCAAAGGCTCCTCAGGGGCAGCATCTGGGAAGAAAAGCTGAAGGTGCCCACTGTAAGGACCTTGCTCAGTGCCTGCGGAGATTTGCCCTTGCACCATGAAGTGTTAAGCTGCTTTGACAATATATTGTCCAAGTTTTCTTCTGGGTGTCTCCCATTTCAAAAAATAATCCCCCTATAAACCGGAAGCTCTTCCTCAGCTGTGTGTTGCGAGCGGGATGCATCAAATACAGAGCACATATTTTGCTGCTTTGCCTCCAGAGAGGGGAGGTTGGGGTGAGCATGGATGTCCTTTTGGCTGCAGCTGGTTGCTGAGGCCTGCTTGTGGGCCCTTGGTGGCAGGCAACTACATGCAGAACTTTGTGCATCTTCTGCACCTTCTCTTGGGCCATCTGACGTGCACCCACTGACCCTGGACCCCAGCCTCGCCAGGCAGCAGCCCTTTCAAGTGTCATCAAACCAGGAAAGCCCACTGACTTCTTCAGCAGATGTATTCTGCAAATCTGTTGCTACGTGAAGATCCAGCCCAAGGGGTGCATAGGGGACCTAGCTTAGTTGATGGAAAAAGGCTGAGATTTTCAGGCAAATCAACCACAAATGCTTTCTGTTGTACCAGATTTCCTCCCCTCTCTCTGAGCAGTAGTTCCAGGAATGAGATAATTATGTCTGGATGATACCCAGAAAAAAATCTCTCATGGGCCTTTGGTAAATGTAAGTATTTCTATTTTACAGCTGGGGGAAATGGAGAGATCTTGCCAGAACATTATGGCAGTAACTTCTGCATGCGGACTGCCTGCTTTTTTTTTTTCTTATGGTGTCCGTGAATAGATCATTTTGTGAATGTGAGCAGATCCCAAATGAACCTCTTCTCCTTGGGCTTTGGACAGCAGGGCTGGTGATCGCAACACAGGGAGACCTGCTGGCTTTGCCCCTTCTCTAGAGAGGTAAGATAGGTGGTATCAGGTAAGCAAGCTGTGAGCAGGGTTTGTATATGTCTGGACCACTGGATTTGGGGATTGCAGAGGGGTTCTGGCTTGGAGCCCTGTGTCTGACTCAGCCCTTACGCCTTGGGCTCTTGCAGCACACCAAGCTCACCCTGGTGAGCAGGTTCGTCATAGTGCGTGCAGTGCCAGGGGGAGAGGTATGAAATGTTTGTGAGGATGGTTGGCTTGATGGCTTGCTGGGATCCCTGGCAACTGGTATTCTGGCCTGTCGTGTGATAGAGATGCTGCTGAAGTCACGGACGGCCTTCCTCACAGTGCTGAGCTATG